ATAATGTTAACAATGTTTTTGAGTGGGTTTGTAGTTGCTGCAGTTGGTCTTACAGAGGAACAAATTTATAATTCACAATAAATATACTATAACATAATATAATTAATATCATATCATATATGATAAATATATGAGACAAATAAATCAAGGAGTATAACACCTGGTCTACCTGAGGAAGGCCATCAAGAAGTGCCAACCCCATCTGCTGGGGTGCACCAGGGGGAAGAGTGGCCTATTTTGAATATATTTCATGATGTATTTTGAAGGGATAGAAATAAGTTTCATGGAAAAGGTGATATCTGAGATAGGTCTAAATTAATGGATATGATTGGAACCGATAGAGGAAGATGGTCCATGCATAAAGAATACCATGAGTAAAAGTATTAAGGTGGCATTTAGGTACTTTCATGTCCTTAACTCCCTATCCCCAGCCATTCAGAGAATCCAGTGTAGGAAAAGTCATTTCATTTCTCCTCTCATTTATGCAGTGTTAGAATCCTCATTTGTGCAGTATTCATTTAAACTGACAACTTATTTGGATGGTCTGTGTGACTTTTCTCATCAGCAACAACTCAGAGACGATCTGATTGAGATCATTTCCTTAGTTGCACACCAGCTATCTATTAACACCACAAGGAATACCTCCTCTTCCTTCCTCTGACCCTCCTCTCCTGCTTGAAGCAGGCATCCAGTACCCTATATTCCAGACTAGTTGACTCCAGGGTCCTGATTCTCTGCTTTTCTAAGAGGCAGGATCAGATAACAGGAAAGCACAACTAACACAGGAGCTGTGAGTAATCTGGTTTACTGGGAGTCGAGATACACGCAGGAGATTGGTAAACTATATGCTGGAAAGATAATCTAGGTTCATATTGTACAAGTCTTTGAGTGACAGGCTGAAAAAATTGTTTTGGATTTGATAAGAAATGGGATTCAATGAAAGACATTGAGTAGGATTTACTGTTTGCATTCATTTCTCTCTCTAGATATTTGTGTGTGTGTGTGTACATGCACACATGTGTGTTTCCCATGATACATTCTTATAGGAAAAAGGATGGGGTCTATTAGATTTTCTTCCTAGTGTTGCTCACAACTCTGTGCACATGAAAAAGGCTTTGTGGAGATGAGGATGATGAAAAGGTGGAGGAGGTTTGTTAGACCATAGTGCTTTTCAGAATGTCATCTTAATAAGAGGCTTAAGCATCGTTGAGAGGGAAATGTATTGTTTATAAAAGAGAAAGTAGACAATGCCAACAAAAATGGAAATATGTATTTACCCTGTGGAAGTCTTTAGTTTTAACTGGCAAGGACTGGATGGAAACTGAAACAAATCTCAGAGTTTCATGCTCTGCTGACAGCAGAGATGTGGTTCAGTTAGCTTCTAGCCAAGTGTTTAAGGGATATTGAAACCCTTCCAGTTTACAGTACATTTGGCAGCTCTCTGTTGGATAATCTTTTTTATGTGTATTCTGTTTGGAAGTGAATTGTACACCAGTTATTTTAAGTAGTATTTTTTAATCTGTTGCTGTGTTAATTATAGCAGGGAAAACAGAAACACAATCATAGACTAATGGGAATGTTTTATTCAATGAACCAAAGAAATATCCACCAGGGCTGTGTAGCAATTGCAGTGGACTGAAAATAATCAAATATGGATGGGTTTAGGTAGCCAATGGCAGTGATGGCTTATGAAGCTGAACACCAGACTTTTTTTTTTTTTTTGCTGCTGCTGCAGTTTATGTGAGAATCACTGAAGAAAGAAACCCTTGGCATGATTATAGTTTCTCGTGGAATGTAACTAATTTCACAGTGGAATAATTTTGACAAGAGTTCTTAGTTTCCTTCCATATGTTTTATTTCATTTTCTAGAAAAGGGGTCTTTGCCCTGACGCTTTTGAGTACTATTGAGCACCATTGGCAATCTGTTTATTTTTTGTGTAATCATTAATGGCAAAAGAAAGAAAGAAACAAAGAAGGAAGGTGAGTCAGGGTGAGTGCTCTTCTGTGATTGTTTGCTGGCATGGAGACCTCCAAACCAAAGCGATGGGACATCTTGGCCTCTCATCGAGGTCTGAACCAAAGAAAAAATTACAGTTGAACATAATGTGGAATTCCATGCCTTCCTTCCAGGTATATAGCTGACCACATATATAGCAGCCTTTGTTTAAAGTCCATCTGTTTTCATTCAACTATAGAAACACTTGAGAGGGTACAGCATGAGAAAAAGTGGCTGATCCTAGAAAATTAAGCTTTCACTTTCTTGCTATTAAAATACAACCTAAAATTTGTATCTAGGATATACAAGGAGAAAAATAAAGAACAAACATATGTAATACTGATTGATCTATGATTCGTTGAAAGGCAGGTCTCTTCTTGTCTTAAATTTTCTATTGATTTACTACAAATCAATCATTTCTAAATAGGTTTTTGGGACTTGGGTTCTTGACACACAACCTTCAGTATGTTCCAGGAGGCTTTACTCTGGCACTTACTTATTTTATAGATTAAGTAGAGACTTAGGCCTTTAAGTCCTATGTAAGCTTGCCCCTTCCCCTTCCACCCCATGAACACAAGTGTGCATGCACACACAGACACATTTTGAAATTGTGTCCCAAATGAAAACCAGTCAGCTGAATAATTGCTGCTTATTATTGTTCAGTATCAGTAGAAAAGGAGAAGAAGGAGAGCCAAAACCAGGGAGTGCTGTACATGCTGCTACATGAAGCTAGCACCAATTCAATCATTTCAGTTCAGCATTCATTCAAGCACAAAAGAAAAAATAAAACAATCAAATAACAATGATTCATTCACATAAAACGTGTTGCTGATTTTTAGGTGACTGGCATTGTACTAATGTACAAAAGGTATAGAAAGTTCAATAAGAAATAATAATTGCTCTTGAGATCCTCAAAGTCTCATAGCAATCATATTTGTTGCTGTATAAATCCAAATGTAGAAACATTGATGACATCATCTGAGTTCAATAATAAATGAATAGTTAACAGGAAGCTAAAAAATGAGAGTTACTATAAACAGAGTCCAAAGCAAACATTACAAACTGGAAAAATTTGCCATATAACAGAAGAAAGATCTAATTTCCCTAATATGTAAATAAAGAGTATCAATAAATGAATGAGATTACCAATAGAAAAATGTAGAGATGAAGAAACAAATAATTCATTAAAAAACAAGGTAAATATAATCCTTAAAACTACAAAAAGGTACTCAACCTTAATCATCATAAATGAAATTCAAATTAAGATTGCACTTAAATAACATCTGCTACCTATTAATATTGACAAAGATATATAAGCTTGATAATACCATTATCAAGAATGGGGGGCAAATAAACATTTCACATATTGCTTGGGAATGTGTAAAGTGCTACAACACATATATGCAGGACATTTGGAAATGTTTATGAAAATTTAATACTCTCTGAAAGAACAATTCCAATTCTGTAGGCATAATAGGACATATTTGCAAAATGACATATTATCACACTATTAATTGCATCATTGCTCATAACAGCAAAAATAAGAAACAACTTGAAGTTCTATCAGTAGGAGACTGACTAAATGCACTATGCTATAACCCTGCAATAAAATACTACATAGCTATAAGGGAATGATGCTACACTCTATGTATTAATACAAAAACACTTCTCTCCAAAACACATCAAGTGAATAAAAGGTAATGTGCAGAACATACTGCATATTATGCCACCAATGTGTAAAATCAGGAAAATTATGTTTTTCTTTTTTTTATGCATAAGTATCCTTAGAAACACAAAAACCAAATGATAGGAGGGAAAACGAGTGGTAGACACCAACAGTATAAAGGAGACTTCACTGTATGCCTATTTTTATTTTAGGTTTTTGAACCACATTGAATGCATTACTGTTTAAAAAACTAAATACATAAAATAAAAGAGGAATGAACAAATAATTTCAGCCTGCATGGTCAGGAGGGATTTTTAGAAAGGAAGTGATATTTGAGGTGAATCTTGGAAGATAAATTCAAGCAGAGAGGAAGAAAGAAAAAAATATCATGGGCAAATACACAAAAGTAAGAAAATATGGGGAGGGTCAGCAAAGTCATAAAGTGGCACTGAGAAGGAAGCTTCAAAGTGCTGAGAAGAGACCAGTGATATATAAAACAAAGGGAGCGGAAGGTTCAGGAAGGAGAGCATGATCATTAACATCAAGATCTGCAGGGAGGTCACTTGAGGCTATTGCCTCCTGCCGTTCCTCTGCAGTTGATTCCACTTTCAGCTCTTAGCTTTTTGCCATTGGACTTTATTGTTAAAGAGGTTGGTTTTATTTCTAGGTTCATTACCCATTAATATGCAGATTGTTTTCAATAAACATGTCTCTTGGTTAGACACCTGTGTAATAAAAATGTAACAGGAGGCATAACAGATGACTGCAAAATTTCAAAAATCTATTTAGTGAGAGTGATGGCATACACCAGCAACGTGTGGTTGGCCACAGAGCAGTATATCTGAAAGTACAAAGTAGTACCAACACATTATTGACTTTTCCAGCCCTCAGTTTATTAAGATTGGTCAACAAATGAAGTAACGTGCATGTTAATAAACCATTAGAGACTACAATATAAACATAAGGGGTGATGGTGACACAGTCATGGTGATCATAATAATAGTGAGGATCCTGAGATGAAATGAAATTTTTACCCTAACTTTGGGCTTTCCTTCCTGCCTAAGCTAGTTCCTCCCTGTGCTTTCCTTCAGACTTTGGGTAAGTCCTCAGCTATGTGGTTAAATGAATAAAATTGGCTGGGGTTCCAAAGGGCTTCATAGATCTGTGCTAGGAAAATGAGCAGGTCTTATCAGGAAAAAAGAGGGGACTATGTGGGGAGTGGGCTATGCCCTTCCCCCACTTGCCGATATGGCGGGAACAGAGAACAAAGAACATTCTGTTTACACATTCCATGAGCAACTAACTGGAACCCTGCTGAGCCTACCTTTGCCCGGCTACCACTGACGTCAATACTGTGCTTGATTGTCTATTGGATAATGCTATATCCTAGAATCATGTAACCCCACTGCATTATATAAACCCTGGACCTTCATTAAAGTTTTGCTGGCGATGCACAGGAGTGTCAGCCCTCCCGCTCTTTCTGTCTTTCTTTCTTTTCTTCGCCCCCCTTCCGCACTTCAGGACCTGCTTGACTCGGCGTGGCTGGACAGCGTCAAGTGGTGCCTGAACAGGGACCTGAAGGAGAGGGAAAAGGTGAGGGCTACCATGAGGCCAATAGAGAAGAGAAAGCCCTGGCCAGGGTAATCAGAGAAGACGCGCGAGAGAAGAAGCATGCAAGAAACGTGGATGTGGTAAGTGAATTTTTCTGGGAGTCCAATACGAGACAGGCGGGGAGCAAACAGTTATATGTTTGTGGGCTAAAGAGGTTGTTAGCTGCCAGAGGAATTAAAGTAGGGAAACCCCAATTAGAAAGATTTTTAGATTTTATTGAGAAAGTGTGCCCTTAGTTCCCAGAAGAAGGGACAGTAGACATAGAATTGTGGAATGAGGTAGGAAAGGGACTTCAATCTTATTATTCTACCCATGGCCCAAAAAAGGTTCCGGTGGACACATTTGGCCTGTG